AATCACCCCCCCCCCCCCCCCCTTCAGGGCCATTTGGAAGATGGAGGAAAGAATTGTATACGAGACATTTGGGAGTTGAAGGGAGTATGTATGTGAGATTTCAAGTAACTTGTCTGTGGCAATAGTGAGAGATACTGTATTGTTCCGTTACATTTAGGGTATTCTGAAAATCAATCTAGCAGTGGGTTTCCGGGTTACATAAAAGGCACTTAAAGGATCACGGAAACAGCACTGAGATCAGTTGGAGTCTTTTTCTACTAGAGCAGTAGAACCCACCAGCCTTATTCTAGCACTTAGCCATCATCATGTCTCATCAGTTTCAGTAGGGCTTCAGCATCTTTTTCAGTATTGTCCTTTAGCATAGTTTGCTTTCCTGAACTAAGATACCAGAGAGATTCCCTGTGTAATGCTCCTGTTAATATAGGTAAGTGATGTTAACAGTTGATGTTTGCTTCATGAGACTATTTTAAACTCGTTTTAGATGTGCCTTGCTTCAGAAGGAGTAAAAGTGAAAGAACCTGGGAAAACAAAAGTGGAAGCACCGGAAGATGTGGGAAGGGAAGTTCCAGAGGAAATGGAAGTAGAAGAACTGGAGAAAACAACAATAAAAGACTCCTGTAAAGGAAAAGTAGAACAGTCCGAGATAGAGAAAATGCAAAACCGGGATGAGACAAAAGCTGAGGAATCAGAAACTGCAAAATGCAGAGATTTTACTAGTCTTGCAATGGAGAGCAGTCCTTTTGAGAGAAACGATAACACAAAGGATCACATGTGCTGTTCTCCAGAGCTTTCAATGGCTGACATGAATATCCTCGGGCTAAAGCCAGAAAAGATAAAGAAGAAAAAGAAAAAAAATAAGTTGGACCGGCACACAAACGAAAAATCCACCCCCAAGAAACCTTGTAAAAAGAGGCAGTCCTCAGAGTCGGACATTGAAAGTGTAATGTACACAATTGAAGCCGTTGCAAAGGGGGACTGGGGTGCTGAGAGACTCGCAGAAACTCCCCGCAAAAAAACCCGCCCTGTCTCAAATGTGAAGGGAAGTCTGTTGGATACAAAATCACCAAAGAAAAAAGTGAAGTCGAAAGAGAAGAAAACATCAAAGGAGAAACCCACGGAGACCACCAAAGAATCAAAGCCTCCTGATTTCCTTAGTATTGCAGCCAGCAAGGAAGTACCCTGTGAGGCTTCTGATAACATTAAAGTGGAGCCACTGACCCCAACAGAGGAGGTGGTACCCCCAAGCTTACCAGGACAGGTCAAAACTGAGGACAGTGACTGTGTTAAAAAGATAGAAACCTGTGGCTCCAGGAAATCGGAGAGATCTTGCAAAGGTGCTCTTTATAAAACTCTGGTGTCAGAGGGCATGCTCACATCTCTGCGCGCTAACGTGGACAGAGGTGGGTGGCTTTGAGTGTTTCATTTAACAGCATGAACCGCAAAAGCCTGCCTGGAGTGGGAGGAAAAGCAAAAGTCCGTGTTTAAGCTGGAGTTTGAGCAATGTGTGATGGGAATGCTGTGTCTGGTCACCTGAGATGCTGGGAGCAGGTGGAGGGGATGGACTCAATGGTCCAGGACAGGTCTTCTCGAGTCCTGCTATCTGCGTTTGTACTTACCTCACAAGCTCTAACCTCTCGATTTTTGTCTTTCGTGATCTGAGATTTAGCTTTTTGACCGAAGGCTTTGTTGGTTGATTTGTCAGCCTGCTGATAGATGTATGTAGGGCTTGTGTTGTATGTAACCCTGAACAACTAGCTTGTTTTTATATGAACAACTCTTGTGTTGTGAGCATAGTTCTCAGTCCTACAAGAGGCAAATGTGTTCTGCTTTTGCTTTGGTTGTTAGTTTTGCTGTAGGTGGTGAGCGAGAACCCTTCACCTTGTGGAAGGACAAGTTTGAGATAATCTCTGGAAGCTTTCAGTGAGATGTCTTGGAATGTATTTTTCGGATTAGTAGATTCATATGTGTAATTAGAACAGTCAGGAAAGAAAAAGATGTTTGTAATTTAGGGAAGTTTATTACTGTGAATCTACTCATCTCTTTCTCCTCCTTTATACCTCGAGAGATCCTGACTTTAGAGGTAGTATAAAAACCAGGGCGGGGCGAGAGGGGGAGGAAATAGTTGCCAATATCATCATTATCTAGTTTAAAATAAATAAATAAATGTTTTGTAACCCCTTCAAGAAGGGGGTCAAGAAGGCATCAGAAGTTGCAGTACTGAATGGGTACACAAGTTCCTTCTGAGCCCCCTTTGTTTTGGCACATTTTTCTAAAGATGAGAAAATTTTCTGCCTTCATCCCAGGAAAAAGAAGCTCAGGAAAAGGCAACTCCTCAGATCATGAAGGATGCTGGAATGAAGAAAACTGGGCTTTTTCCCAAAGTGGGACAAGTGGGAACAAAAAACTGAAAAAGCCTAAGCCAAAGGAGGAGTTTGTTTTCGGGTAAGTAGCGGCTTAACACTGTTCAAAGTTCTAGTTAGGTCAGCCTGGTAACTTACGAGTGAGTCCACCTCACTGCAGCAAGTGAACTGGGTCCAACACCCAAATAATCACAGTTAGACAGAATTCCTGAAAATTACAAACCCCGCTGGGCTGAATCATGCTCTAGATACCTGTTGTTTATATACCAAAGTAATTCCTTTGAGATCTTCCGTGGTTTACACTGCTGTAAACAGATTTGAATGACATTATTTGCTCACTTCTAAAAAGAAATGTGCAATATTCACCTGCTCAAGAGGTAATGAAGAGGATTATTTATATTTTCAGAGCACTTCATAAGCAGTATTTAAAGTTCTGTGTAGGTGTTCAATCATCATAAACAGGATTAGACTAGAAAGAATAGATCTCTTTGCCCATTTGGAGAGATTGCTTACAGAGGAAGAGTAAACAATGTTATAATATTGGCAAATATTTATGATAAATATATCATTTTTCCATGGTAGAGACAAGATACTTAAACTGTTCGTGTACACCATGAAGAAATTAAATATATCAGAAGAATAATTTATGATTACAAATACCTTAAAATTTAGCAAGGCCACACAGAATTACTTTTCTAGTGTATGAATAGCAAATTTTTCAGAGTATTACAGTTGTTAAATCTGCTTAGTTGTAGTTGTTAAATCTGCTTAGCCATTCATACTTACTTGCAAATTCTTGAAGATTTCCAATTATCTGAATTCAGAGGGTGAAAATGAATTAAAAAGGAGTAGATTTTCCACACTTCATGCTTAAAATTATGATGTGTTTCTTTTGTGCAGGTTTGCAGTAGCCTTTTTTATAACCTAGGCTATGTGAAATTTAGCTGCAGCTCACTTTACAGCAAAGATAGTAAATTGATGAAAATCTCCAAGTCTTGTTTGCTTGGAATAGTCAAGAAAAATTAATGGAACACTTCTTGTATTCTTAGTGCGTGTATATAAGTTTAGTAAATATTTTTAAAATTTAAATTGAAAGATTGAAAACTTTTTACACCTAATGGTGTGAAAACTGAATGCATCTCCTAGCCAAATAAAATGTAGTTACAAATCATTTATTCAAAGTAGCTAGGAAAATTGTGTAAATAATTAATTCATTCGACAAATACTGCTCTACCACAATTAGCTGGCTGGATGGGGAAAATACATATTTGCCAATCTTGCTTCTTGATTCAGTCATGTCATGAATGAATATTATTTAGTGAACTCTATAAAGGCAGAATTGGTAATTTGTGGAGTGTAAGTGCTGGAGAAGGTATCCATTATCCCTGTTCATTGCACTACCTGATCTTCTGGCTGCTTGAAGAGCTGTTTTTACCTCTAGCTGCTCCTTCTAACTCTTTCTGCTCCCTTCAGCATCACCTTTGAGCCTCATTTTGTGTGTGGGTGTAGGGGGGAGGGTCCTCACCCCTCTGGAATTACGTCTTTCTCCCCATGTCCTCTTACCTTCTTCTCCATCAGTAGTTGCCCACACTTCCCCGATGGTCCCTGTCAAGTGTGCTTTGTCCATGTGCAGCCCGCTCCTTTGCTGAGTAGTGCTCTGCCTGTGTGTATCTCCTGGCAGGACTAGGCTGTACAGCATGAAGGCCTCAGCTCAGCTACGTGTGTCTAACTAGGCTTGTGAGATGCTCTGAAAATTCAGGACTGTGAATATTTTTTTCATTTGTTTGTTCTTAAATAATTAATTGCAGATACAGTGATAGCAGCACTCTCCACTGCCTCCATGTTGCACAAGCTATAAATTACTAGCCAGGATGGCAGCTCATCTGCTTTCAGGGTAGGTCCTTCTGAATTAGAGCTGCAGCCCCTCATATGCCCTTGGGGCAGGAGATGAGGCAGGTGGCAGCAGGCAGTGGGAGAGGAGCTGGGGCAGAGGATGGAATCGCATGACAGCTGTCAGAGCAGAAAATCAGCTTGTTTTGTGGTTGTCAGGGAACATCTGCATGGAAGAGAAAGGTAGCAGTACTGAGCACCGCTAATGTCAGATATCTTTGTGATTTCAAAACAAAATGAAACATGCATGCATGCACACACACACAAAAACCCAAACAAACAAACCCCACCATGCGTGCAGTCTGCCAAGAGCCAAGGCTGTATTTTAAGATGGAAGATTGCTTACCAAAAGAAGTAATGATTACAGAGAGAAAATGAAGTATCATTCTGTGTACCAAAGCTTGCAGAATGCAACTTGTTTGAAGTGCTGCTTCAGAGGGCAGAGAGAAATGCCTTGTTTCTTGTGATACTTCCAAGTGTACAATGTGTAAGGCCCATCCCTCCAACAGTCATGCCAACTTCTGTCAAGTTCAGGTTTTCCGTAGCAAACAGAATTAAAGAAGAGTAGAAAATGTCATTGTTCCCCTGTCATTGAAGGTGGTATTTATAATCTGCCTAGCTGTGCGCACTGTCTTTTATTAAAATACAGTTCCTATGCTTCTGCCTGGCTGCAAAAATGTGCTGGAACTGAGTGCTTATACAAGACAGCGTAGTCATTACAGCCAGAAATGCCATGCCATACCATCCTGTTCGAGTGGTTTGTTTTCATCTGGCTATTAGGAACAGCAATATAATGTCTGTGGATTTCTTGAGTTGTAGGTAATTAGTTACAGTCATTCAGGTTAGGCTGAAGTATGAGGGATGTTGAGTTTCCTGAAAGCATGAGCTAGTTGCATTTTTTATCTTGCAACAAATAAAATATGAGGGGAGGACATATAATCCCTCAGAACGAATACAAAGCTAATTCCCACCCCAAAGCATCAGGTTTTGGAATATCCCCAGAAGATTGAATAGTTTTGACATTTTTCTTCTGGTTTGAATTGTTGTTTTCATTCCAGTGTAAGGTTTTATTTGAAGTTATTTTATTGGTTTGTTTATTGGTTTTATTGTCTTTTTTTCATTCCCCTCACAGAACAGACAAATCTCCTGTACAAATCTGCAGCAAACAGAGCTACATGTCACCAGTGTGACATTGATTTTTTTTTTTTTTCTTAATATATGCAACTAATGTAATCAATTTGTACTGAGTTACAAATGCAGAAGCTGGAGTGTACGTTCTCATCCCAAAGTTGGATTAATATATACTAGTTGGATGTTTACAGTGTGTGTGCACTTATCTCTTTCCCCCTCTTTCTATGTAGATAGGTATGTATATACTCACACATGCTCCTAAACAATATTTTTCTTCTCCAGAAAGGGAGTTACATTTAATTTGGTTGGTTTTGTTTCCCCTTTAGCTTAGCAAAGTTGGAAGAAGAATTTGAAAAGAAATTCAACAGCCTCCCTCAATACAGTCCTATTACCTTTGACAGGAAAAATTCAGCTGTTCCAAGGAAAAAGAGAAAGGTTGGAAGCGGCTCATCTGAACAACCAAAATCCAACAAAGGTAAATAACCATGTGCAATACATTCTTAAGCAACAAGAATGCTACAAAAAGCTCGGGAATTTATACTTTCTTACTTTACTGTTATATGTGAAAAGTGTGAAGTCAAAGAAGACATTTTTCTAGCACTGAAGTTAGTTGGTTCTCACCCGAGTTAGTTTTCAGGCTGTACTCCTGACTCCTGATTTTCATGTTGAGTAGAACTGGTTAGAGTTTGTACATGAAATATATTCCTCATGGCAAGCAAATTTATCAAAAAAAGTGAATATTTGTGAGGTAAGTGAATTTCACAAGTTCTCCCAGGAGAAAATGGGGGAAAAATGGCAGATGATCAAAAGGTTACATTTTGACATTTTTCAAAATATAATTTTATGCCAGTTTGCATTTCACTGTAATTTTAGGCTCTATAAATGAAAACATAAGATACCAGAGATGTCTGAATGAAACATTTGGATTTTTTTTTCATCAAGACTTTAACTATCCTAAGTTTGCAGCAAATATGTCCTGACATGATAAAAAAAAGTTTAGAGGACAGGAAAACCAATTCCATACCCAGCTCCGTTGCTGAGGCTCTTGGAGGGAGAAACTCATGACACATTTGGCTGTTTCGTATACAACCAACCTGTGACACAGGGGTTCTAGAGAATTGAGAATATGGTAGGGAGAACTACTTTCAGACTGTGGCAGAAATACTGATGCATACATACAGTACAGAAGCATCACAAAATGAAGGAATGACGTACCAGTAATCCTGCAAGATAAAAGGACGCTCAAAAGAATCCTTATCATGTACAGTTCACAGTGTGAAACTGGTTTCCTTTTCTGCTACTATGGTAGTTCCATTGAGTGACAGGTTTTCAGATGTAATACTGCTATTTTAGCCAGGTGATCCTGGATTAGGTCTATGCCTTTTGAATGCTTCATGAATAATCACATTACAGTATGCAGGACTGAGCAGCTGTTCTTTTCTAGTGCATGCCAATTTTGGTATTGATTTTTGTATTTATATAGTTAAGTGTGGAACAGTCACTGTTGCAAAATTAGACTTGTGCTAATACCAAGTGAGTTCTGACTTCAAATGCCTTTCATTTTTTTTTTATGGCATATATTTGACAGAACTTCTTCAGTGAACATGAATGAATTGCTTTAACCACTGTATTACCATACTGTAATTAAGCAATATCTGTTGGGAACAAGACCTCCTCATCTACCATGATCTGACAGTTGAAGTTGTAATAGCAGCTCCTTGGATTTCTTGCTACAGTATTTACCTGTTCAAGTGTGTGTATGTCTAAAAATTTTGCAGGCCCTGTGTTGTTTGGGAATGGCACGCTAGAACGCTACTTCAGGTTAGGTAGCCCAGAACTGCATTCTGCTTTTGGCTAGGTTCATATGTGAGAACTTAATTTTTATCCTTGTTTGCATTACTTAAAAAGCTTAGGAATAATATTCGGCTGTGTCTCAAGGGAAGGTCAGAAGCATAACTGCAGGCAGGTTACAAGCCTGATATAAGGAGGTTTGGCACAGCCTTTGGGAGAAGGCCATGGAGCATTTGCCTCTAGCTGACAATAAGGGCTCTTTAAACTAAGCCAGCTGACTTTGCACTGAAGCAGGTGGTGAACAGTCACAAGAACCTTTCCACCAACTGAGCTGTGGGGTTGCAACAAGCAGCCCCAGGGCAGGAATATCTGATTGTGACACTGCTGTTTCTGTAGTAAACATCTAACCGCAGCCCTGAACTAAATCCAGACAGAGCTAGTGATATCTGCTCCTAATTTCAACGAATGTCGAATTCACTCAAGTTAGCTGGGCAGGCTGTCAGCTTGTGTCAGTCATTCCAGCTCCATGGAGAGTGAAGTTCAGCTCTCAAGAGGTAGTTGAAAAACTTTCTGACAAACCATTTTTCTCTTGGAAAAGAAAGATTGCTAAAATGTAAATATTCCATGGCAAAGCGTAGATTTTAATTTGTTTTTTTGTTAGGATGCGAGTTGTGGATTTGAAACAACCTGAACCAAATTGCATACAAGCAAGCTTACTAGCTTAGTAGGGAAACTGTTCCAGCCGAGCCAAACATTCATTAAGTTGAATCCTCAATTTGATTTGTGGTGTACTGACAGGCCATTCAGCTTCATCATGCTGTTGGCTTGCCTGTGAAATGTGACAAGTCCAAAGACAGAGAATACTGACCTCCAAAGGTGTTAAGCATACAGGTCTGCAAACTAGGCTCCTGCAGGTATTGCAGGAAATGAAAATGGCATATTGTGCAAGACGATAGAGCTTGGTTTGGAATGGTTCTGGGGTTTTTGAATTATCATGGTTTTTTACACCATCAGAATTAAACAAAAGTAACATCTTGTTCTTGCAATGTGATGAGCGTGAACCATGAAGGGTCAATATAGTCTTATGGGTGTGACTGTGTTGGGATGTAGGAGATGTTAACTTTGCTCTGCTGTGCTCTGCATCACCATGTCGTGTGGAGTTGTTTCTGCTGCTTTGCTCTTCCTGGGGGTTGTCTCTCTCTGTAAGGTAATTAGAAGAGATGTCCAGCTCAAATAGCACCTACTAGTGGTTGGGGCCTCTGGGTGTTTCCAAACAACAGATAATAATCACTAGGGGTAGGTTTAGTAAACACTCTTTAAAATCATTCCCTCTTTTTCTGAATGAGCATGTGCAGGATCATAAACTTCCCAGGCATTCTCAGTTCTCAGATAAGTACTTAATTTCTGCAGTCTACAGATCAGTGACTACTAAATTACATTTAAAATTTGGAAAATAGGTTGGAGTGCTGCACACTAAAACTTCCCCGGAATGTTAGGTGAATAAAAATGGAGAAATGTTTTTGTTTGTTGGGTTTGGGGTGGTTCCCCGCCCCCCCCCGTAACTAGGGCTGTATGCCTTAATACATTTTGTTTTGGAGTAAATGGTGCCAGATTGATTTTCTGTCAAATGTCATTAACCTATACCTACAAGAGACCTGATCTGCTACCTAACCCAGACAGCCAGATTGTCAGGATGTTTTCCTACCCCTAAGCAGAAAACGAGTGGGTCAGTGCCCGCTGACTCCTTCCATTGTGCTTGTCATGTTCAGTCCTCACTTCAGCCAGTTCTTTTCATATAGAAACACCTGAAGAACCCTGTAACATGAAAGCTGTTTCAAATCCACATGTATAAGGGAAAATTTGAATTTTCTTTTTTTCCCCAGAGCTTTCCAAATTGTCCAAATTCTGCTCCCACTGAAATTAATGAGGGTCTTTCTCCAGTGGAAGCAGGATTGAACAAGCCATAATGCTTTGGCAAATTCTACCTCAAGGATTTTGAACTGTGAGTTTGCATATACAACAATAATGTCACAAAATGGCTGAAGAATACAGCTATACTGAATCTGTACAGATGGCCTGCTCTGACATTTGCTGGAGCTGTGACTGATTTCTTTTTTTTTTTTTTCTTCTTTCCAATGGCATATGTGCCAAAACATCCCACCACGCAGAAGTCAGCAGTCTGCAGTGAGTCACTAATCTGCTTGTATGCAAAAATGAGCAACAAGCATAGTCATTATTTCTGCCTTGTGCTGTGAAGAAATGCTCACTTACACACTAAGCACTTCACTAAAGCTTTCGTTTTGGGAAGGCAAGGAGAGGAATGCATAGTGTGCTTTTATTTGGGAAAGGGATTGTCTACAATTTTTTTTGTCTGTGGCCTCTAGAACCAGAAATAAAGCATCAGCTTAAAATGGATGCTTCTTTGTGGCATTCCTCTTGGTCTTAGCATGGAGGTTTTTTTGGCTCAGTTCAAATCGTTCAGATGCCTGGAGATCGCATGCCATAGTGTTCCAAAGATCATGACCTAAAAATACAGCATCTTCCTCCTGAGAGATGCACAGACAAATCCGTTTGTCTTGGTTTTCTTATAATCATGTTGAAGTGTTCTCTATTTGATCAGGCCCTTTAAGATAGGGCACTTTGTGAAAGCAGAGAGGGGGCATATGCCCAGAAGTGTGGAGGAAATGCAGTTACAGTTTGTTACCTACGGTGGGTTCATTCTTGCCTGCTGCTTCCCTGAGCAGCTGCCTTTGGCTATAGCGAGTATTCCCAGGAGGAAATTCCTACCGCCCTTAGTGAGCACGATGGACAAGCCAGAGATTAGCAGGTGGTTAAATCCTGTGGCAACTGCTGAAGTCCTAGGGAAAAGAAGAGGTGTGTAGAATATTTCCAAGAGACCCATGAGCAGGAGAAAAGGACTTACTTTACACTTGCGGATGGCTGCATAACAATAGCAAGTAAACTAACACTAAAAGTTTTTTTTTCAGCTTTCTATAGGAAATCGCATCCAGGGTCCACTGCCTAACAGTGAGCCTTTTAGGTTAGTTAGTTTTTTCAGTCATGAATTTTTCTCTGGATTGAATGTTGACAAGTGGCATTTGTTTGAAGCCTGGGAGTACTTGCCTGCTGTCCCCATGAAACAGGTGTAGCCCAGCCAGCCCTCCTGTAAACTCCTGCATGGGTGAGTGTGCCTAAACTGTGCCCCTGGGGCACCTGCTAGTGAGAGCCTGAGAAGGGATATTAACACTATCCCAGCCAAAACCAGCACATGATCTCAGGAATGCTTCCTTGTTCCGCCTTTCCTACATGCAGATGTCCTCTCCAGTCCAGACTATATTTTGCCTTCTCCATATTGGTTTAGTTCAGTTAATTTCTATTAAAAGAAAAGCTCTGGTTTTTGGATTCAAAAATACCTGAATATGCCATGCAAAGATCCTGTATTTGGCAGTTCATTGGCGTAGGCCTTAATCTAAAGGCAGGATGGGATGTGGCCATTTTCAAAGAACCACCAAATAGTCTATTTGGTAATCACTAGACAATTTATATGTGTAAGTGTGTAAGAGTGATTGTAATTTGGCTTTTCACAGAGGACAGTGAGTGTATCCTCTAGTTCACTCTAAGCAGTTCAGGCAGGGAGTGTGGATGAAATTTCTCATGGAGTCAGAAGTTATATTCTCAGGTCCGAGTATGACATGTGGACCTATTTAGCTATTAGCCCATCTTCTCTTTCACTGCACTCATGGCCAAAGGGTATTCAAGTGTCAATGGGCACTGTCTCACAGGAGTAACAGCTAAAAGGGTAGGAAATTGGAAGTTTCCTTATAAAAAGGCAGCTTCTCTTTTTGACCCCACTGAAATCAATGTCCTTGGATTTTCCATTTGGGAACAAAATTTTACATGCAAGTGGCATGTGCCTTGGAGTACCCTACATGTCGCAGATACAAGCTTATGACAAAGGTGCATTGGATGGTAGAAAAGAAAGACATGGGTTTCCTTCTTCATGCAATGCTTGTCATATTTTTGTGAATTTTTCATCTGAGTTATTCTGCTTAGAATTGCTGGCACTGGCTGACAGTTTATGACACTGATTGAAATGGTCTGTAGGGTGCAGGCTGAGCTGTAGAAATGGAGACTTCTGTGATACTATGTAACGTGTTGCTTATTCCAAGCACTTGCAAAAATCACTAATTTGCTAATCTAAAAAAAAAAACAATTAAAATGTCATAAGAATCATCTAGTTACATATCTCTGCCTCTGTTGTCTTGTGGAATTGTTGTGGGAAAACTTGCCTCTGTTGATGTGGATGAGGTGTTTGACCTTAGTCTTCAGAAAAGCTCATTTTTTTCACTTAGGCTTTCCCTCAACCTGCCTGAGCTTTTTCATTCCTTGCTTTGCATTTTTATTGCACTGACACTAGACTGCTTATCCAACTCTGTGATACTGAGGAAGCTATTGTAAAATTTGCAGAATGGCACTTGAATCAGTTTAGTGAATATGGCTTCTTCTATTGAACTTACTGATTTTTTTTTTTATACAAGTTCTAGTGAAGCTATTCAGATTCAAGCTGATGTTGCCTAAGATGATGTCTCACTTGGACTTTATTTGGTTTGTTGTTTGACTCCTAGATTTTTGGGAGATTATTAAACTTTTCCCAAAGATTTCATTTCTTCGGTAGTAAAAAAAACAAGCAGCAGTGAGCCACAAAGCCAACATGTTCAAAATCTTAGGCTTTCTATGCCTGTTTCTAGCTGGATTTTAGCTTTCTGTCAGTAACTTTCAATATTATTCAAATAGCCTAGTGTCTGTGAATTGTTTTCCCCTCATAAGCCTAGATCCTCCTTCTATGTGCTACACACTTTTCTCCTTTCCCTGCATATAGAGTCAGTGATGGCAAATTGCAGATGTGTGATGTAGACTTAACCTTGATTGCTGTTACTACAGGGTTGCAGTTGTGTCTCAGTAGCCAAGGTGTGTGTCTGGTTCCTCTTAAGGATGAGGAAGAGTAGAGGAGGTTGGTATTTGTGGTGGGTAGAATTCTGTTCCAAGTCAGCTGCAGATGGGAAGGATACCCTCTTGTTAGGCTGTAAGCCGTCTTGTCACCTGCAGTGCATCTCATTGCTGTTTGGGCAGGTCTGTTCTTCGCTAGCCTGAAGACTTGCTTGCCTGCTGTATCGTTGGAAATAAGATTTTAAAGTGCAGTTTCTGAAAAGTAACTCCTTAAAAATGGCTTTGCAGTGTAGAGATTATGCATCTGTTATATGTTTGGTCTGTTATGTCTTATGTTGCTGCTGTATCACTGTTTATTAATGAGACAAAGGATGGCTTCTTGATGACCTCTGCTAGTGGCATACTTTGTGGTCCGATGTCACGTAAGATGTCTTCTGACTACTACTACTACTAGCAAAGACTCTGCTATCAAAGTAGGAATGATACCATGAGCTGGGCATAAACTCACCTTCCTCTCCTGAGAGCTTTTACTTCTGCACTTAGTATAAACTCATTTCTGGTCACCAAAAAGGCAAAGGTAACTATTGCATCCTGTGGTGGGTTGGCCCTGGCTGGTAGGTAAGTCCCCACCCTGTCGTCTGCTAACCCTGTCGTTTGCTAACCCTCCCCCAGTGGGATGGGGGAGAGAATTGGAAGGGCAAAAGCAAGGAAAAAACCTCATGGGTCAAGATAAAGACAGTTTAATAAGTGAAAGGCGGGGGAGAAACAAGTGAGGCAAAAGCCAGCGCTCACCACCACCAAACTGATGCCCAGCCAGTCCCTGAGCAATGACTACTTTCAAAAAAATTCTCCCCCCGGTTTTATTGCTGAGCATGACATTATATGGTATGAAATACCTCTTGGTCAGTGTAGGTCAGCTGTCCCAACTGTGTCCCCTCCCAACCTCTTGCGCACCCTCAGCCTGCTCGCTGGGGTGGCAGAGGGAGAAAGAGAGATCTTGATGCTCTGTAAACATTGTTCAACAGTAACTATAAAACATTGGTGTGTTACCAACAGTTTTGGTCACTGGTCTAAAACACAGCACCATCCAGGCTGCTATGAGGAAAGCTTACTCCATTCCGGCCAAACCCAGTACACATCCAAAAGAGAGCATATCTTTAAACAAAAAAGAAAGCAAAACCCTTGTTTTGTTGTATGGCTAAGCTTTCCTGAGGTCATCATTTTCCAGAATGCTTTGTATGCACTTAAGCATTGGGAGCTGATGGGTTGAAGTACAGCCTGCTGAAAGCCTCCAGAGTCCATTCTGGCAGAAGGTCAAGTTTTCCTGTGCTTTCCCATGAAATGGCATCTTGTATTAGTGGAAGGGGAGGTTGTATAGTACATACTGTGACTGTTGTACTCTTTTTAAAACTGCTAATTAAAAGTATGTATTATTAATGTTGTCTGTAGGTTCATTCCAGTCTCAGAAAAAGAACTTATTCCACAAAATTGTCAGCAAATGTAAGCACAGAAAGGAGAAGCTTAATGTTCCGGACACAGGTACTGGTGCATTACTTAGTTAAGGTTTTGGGCCGCCTTCTCTCTCGATTCAGTCTCGGGGAAATGCTTCTAGACAGAGGCTACTCAGCTCTCTAGTCTTTGATTGCTTTGGTCCCTTATTTCCCTGTCTGCTTTGATTCCATTAGCTCCTGGCTCTGGTTGATCATAGTACCTTATTCCAGTATGATGCTGTTTTGTTTTTAATTGACATCTCCCTTAATTACAGTTTCCCTGCTCCAGATGCCGTGCAGCAGAGCTGACAAAGCAAGGGCAGTTCTGCAGTTGCCCCTGAACTCTTTACCTTCCACAGTTCGTAGCTCTTTAGTCCTTTGGTTGCTCTTATCTCCATCCCTTCTGTATCAGAGACCATATTATTTATCCCTTTACCAGAGCATTTATCCATGTCCCTGTCTCCTCTCCCTGTGATTTCCCACTGTCTAGAACTTTGCAGATCGCAGCTGATCAGGATGTAAGATCTTGTTTCTGCACCAGCTCTCAGAAATACTAACCTAAACCAACCCTCCCTCTGTAGAAATCTTAACCAGCTTTCTGTTTGCCTCAAGATTGAAGATAACTTCGACAATTTTTTCAGTTATGTCCTGGACTTGCTCTGCCCGCTGTCCTGCTGGTAGCTCTGCAAAGTCTTTTTCTTGTTACAGTATTGTGGTCCTGCATACCTACACACTCACAACTCTGAGGGGCATTTTTAAGTGTACAGTGTGTACAGGATTGTAGCTTAGCCTGCTTCCCTGGGCCCTTTCTTTTTTTCTTTTGTAGTTATGTTGCCCACAGTATCCAAATCACACCCAGGCTGTTCCTTAGCCCTTTCACAGTGGAGTTCTCTCTCACATAGTCCCTGTGGTGTAGAAGAGCCTCTCTGGTTCTGCTTACTTAGGTAGCTCCATTAATTTCTTCCATGTTTTTCCCCATCCATATCTGTCTCTTTTTAAGATACTAAAATGACTATCCCCATCTCCAGTTCCCGCAGCTACCTTATGCTTAATATCTTTCCCCAAGGCTTTGCCATGTCATTTTCTCTCCCTATTTTGTGTAGCACGTGCAGTATTTTCCCACATAGGCTCTGCCAGCTCTGCTGCATTCTACAGTGCAAATATTTTGAAATTACTTGCTCTGTTATGTTGTATTTGTACAACAAACATGTTGTGGGAGTGGCTCATGAGAAGTAACTATCATGCTTCCATGCCAGTGTGAAAAAGGCATCATATATTAACATAGCTTTTATTTGGTGCCATTCAGATTTTTGACTGTGAATTATTAATAGACCATCTAGACAAATTAGTAAGAAAAATGGGTGTTTAAATTCTCCTGTGGGAAAAGAAACAGAAAGCATTTAATACATAATAGAGTAAAAAAAAAAAAATCTTAAAATCTGCAGATATAAAATGTGGCTAAACAAAATGTCAAAACTCCATTTGATTACAAGAAATCAGCCTGTTTTGATATAAAGTGAAGTGTGCACTATGATCAAAGATTCAAGCCTGGCAAGTGTTGAGTACCCTGGCCTCATTCCAGCACAACACAGAGGCATGTCCTTGGAAGTTAAGCATGTGAATAATGTCATCGTGTCTAAACATTAAAGATGTGTCTGTGCATTTGCTGGAGTAGGGCCAGTTTGCTAAGTTCCTCCCAAGGCTGAAGCAAAGACACAAGGAACTTACCAGTCTTACACAGCCTACGTAGAAATCATCAAAGGAAAGACAGGGGAGATATATATAGATATTGGTGGGGAACTGCATTTTCTCTGAGTTACAAAGGGGAAAAAATTGGGGGTCTTGCCTACTCTTAAGTGTACTATGTAATGACACTGATAGCAAAGCATTGATCAGCAAAGTGCAGTGTGGGTATTGGCTTGACAGGCAGCGTACAGCCTCACCATTATGTGCTACCTACATAACTTTATCCTTTCATGAGTTCCTAGCAGCAGGGCCCTAAACCCTTTGACTCCACTGTCCCATATTCTGCAGCATTAAAGCTGGAAATCCCAGCATCTTCATTTCAAGTCAAATATACAAGGATTTAGTGAATCAAACACTAAATGAAAATTTCAACTCCTTTTTGTGGTTAGTCTATACTTGTGGTGAGTCACAAGTCTATAACATGTGGTTTTGGCTTTTATGGAGTTAGTTTTGCTGGAGGAAGGAGCTTGAATATTTTTCCAGCTGGAGAGGAGACACTTGGAAGAGTTGCTGTCAGCAGAGGTCACGCTGGATTCATGTTTTGTTGTCTTGAAAAGTGTGTGCGCCTGTGTGCGTCTGTGTTTTGAATGAAGAAAAGTAAGTGCAGTAAAGGCAAATTGTGATGTGGTTGGATCGTGTTGTCTGGGTCTGTCTCTGGTTTGAGTATCTGAGTGAATTTTGACTCCATGTGGCCACATCATACACAGCATCACCAGTGCAAATCACCATATTATGAGGTTGCAGGTGTTTATAGAGATAGATACAGCCCAGTAAAATACCAGTGGACATGCCACAACCCCTGCTCCTCCTAGCAGAGAGCACACAGTAATGCAACTGAACATGTTAAGAGATACGTCACTTCCTTAGGAAGGCTGACAGAAGCACAGCTGGACCCATCCCTGTTTGGGGGGGTTGAACACTGCTCAGCTAAGAGATTTACTTTCTGCCACACTGTCAAGGCTTTCTGGTGGGAAGCAATACTTTAAATAACAAGGGGTAAGTCACAACCGTTGACTCCTTGCAAGTACATTTAGTGAGCTGTGCTGAGGGCTCTTGCATGGTTTGTGTAACAACCAGATGCAGTGTTGGCCTTTGCACCAGAAGGGGAGAAGAGGAGATGAACATATACATCAATCTCAATGCTAGCTGATGTGTGAAGCAGCCTCCTCTCCTGTGGCTGGTAGAGCTAACTGCCTGCTACTGATCTTCATCAGCTCTCCCACACGCACATCAGTCTGTACAGCCTTAGCAATATGTTTGAGAAAGAACAGAAAGTGCAGAAAATTAGCAGAATGACCTTTTTTTTTTTTTCTTTTTCTGCTGAGAAAGCCCTGTTGTGTGGGGCCTGCAACCCAGAGGGAGCCAGCAGCTCTGTGCCGCTGTGCCTTTGGCATCCATCCAGGCTGGAAGAGGGCTGGGTCAGCATAGGCTCATGCAGCAGAGCTTCCCATCCAGGCAGCTGTTCCATACACCTGGCTTGACCATCTGCTGCTTTGTCAGCTGGTGTCTCTCTGCTTGTTAGTCCCCAGGCCTTGCTGCAGCTCTTTGTGCCGCTTGACCCCACAAGCGGTATTGCAGCAGCATCCTGTTGTCAGAAGAGCTGGAATTCCCACCAGGGCATAGGTCAGAGTGTGCTTGGCGTCACTTCATTGGTGAAGTGGTTCCCTAGGCACTGGTGACTTGAAGCTTTGCTCTGCCTTGCTAGGCTTCCCCTTTTTAACTTCATAAAGACCACTAAAGCATTACAGCCCACCTTTCCTTCTTGATACCAGCATGCTTAAACCCACAGAGTGCTCATTCGCCACTAAATGTGGTTAAACTTCTGCAGCTCTCTCTTGTAACAGATAGGCATTGCTGAAGAAATTCTTTTAAATCTGTGTCTTGCTGGGGTTCAGTCTGAAAAGCTTGTCCTCTTCTGTGCGATGCTGAGTCAGTCCAATTGACCATTTTTCTTGTTCGTAAAGATGGGGGGAAATATGACTATATGTACTCTGCATGCCTGCAGAATAGGGTAAACTGTCCATGTTAACTTTTAACAAATCTAGCTCAGGAAACCATCTGGCATAGAGCTCTAGATGTTTTTCTCTCAAAGTCGTTTTTGTCACTGTGGTGTAAGCGTGCCAAAAGGCCCACATCTTCATATCATGTGCTCAACTCTGCTTGCAAAAATAGCCCTGTGGTTCTGCATGTGCTGCTGTCATGCGGAAAACTAACCATGTAAATACCTGTTTGCAGGACTGCACAGTAGCTGCAGAACCTCATTTCATTTCTAGACAGCATTCTCCTGAAAATTACCTGAACTCTACATAGGACAGCTATTGAACACAGGACTGTATGGAAACAGAAGGGATGTGAAATGGATTAAAGAAATTACTAAAGAAAAATACAGGGAATTAAACTTGTTTAGCCCTGTCCTTTCTGCACAGCAAAACCAAGTCCTGGTTTGGAGCATCTGTATGGATATACCTTTGTCAGTTGAAGCAATGGGGTGCTGTTCCTCTTGAAGGAGGTACAGGAGGACCCCTACTAGCACTTAGCTTAGCAATATGGTTGTTGAAGCATGGGCTCCTTTCTCTTCTGGAGTTCAGTGCAAAGGGTCTTGTGAGTGAACCCTTCGTGTGATTTCCTGCAAGTTAGGTTTTATGTCTGCTTGAATAATAATCTGTAGAGAAGTCAATGAAATGATTTCTTATCCCAACATCCACTAAGACTGCTAGAGAAGAAAAAAGCTCTTCCCTTCAACACCCACCCTCCAACCCCACGAACAAAAAAATACTCGTTCATTGTTCATCTTTAATCCTTCCTTCTTCAAAACTGTATGGCAGCAGTGTTACGATGAAGTGATAAAGAGCTTACTTTAGAGCTGGAGGAGAAGAAAAAGTAGAGGACTCTCAAGTCTCATTTCAAGGATTGAAAAACCTTAAAACATGGAGAGGGAATGTACTTGCTGCATCCTGAGTTTGTCAGCCACCTTCTGCTATTTCTTAGTCAAACATGCCAACATTGCATACTATGTCTTTAATCTCTATCGCCTCTTTTTATTTTACCTTTCAAGGTTTTTTTCTTATCTTTAATTTCTTGAGCTTTTTGACGCACACAGTATGAGAAAGAAGACAAATGTACAAGGGAACTGTCTACTGTATTGACCAATCAAGTTAATTTCTAGTGACCTGACATGGCTTGTAATATAAAACGCATCTAATTAAAAACATACCAGATCAGGTTTCTTTCTATGGTATGTTGTTTATTGTTTGAAATCATGTCTTAATATTTTTTTATTAAATGTTTAAAAAAAAATTGACTTGTATTAGTAAGATTAAAGCCATTAGAAACTCAATCAAACTAGAATTAAACAGCACTGTCAAAGTACTATCTAATTAGAGCAAATCCCCAAATCAGAATTAATAAATAGCGTTGGACTACAACCAAACCATTACATTAATACATAATCAATGCTTGTAAATTCCCAAATAAGAAATCTAGAGAGAAAGCTGCCCATTTAATTATACATTCCAATTAAGATTTTGGTCTCAGTCAGTGCAGTAAGCTTATCTGAACTTTAGCCCAGTTGAGTTAATTGGAATTTACATTTGCAGTCATTGGTGCTTCTACTTAATTGGACTGTTACGGGGCAGATCTTTTCTTGTGATTTCTCTTGCTCTCTTTACAAAAAGTAAGTTTTACAGCATAGCTCTGCTCTGGAAAGGTTAGCTAAACACTGAGAAAAGCTAATTGAAGCTGTGTGCTTTTTTCAGAATAAAGAGCATGCACAAGTTCAAAAATGTTTTACAAGAGAAGGTGTGAAGGTGAATTAAGAACATAAATGAATTAAGGTTTGGAACATTTTCAAATGGTTTTACACATATGTACTAGATCTGATTGTATTCTTATGCCATAAAACATTAAAAGGTCCCTTCCCACTTAAAATAAAAGAGCAAAGGGCAACAGCTAAGAAGATAAAATGTGTTACAGCTATTCTCTTCACCCAGTCCACATCCTTGCACAGTTAACAGTTAAAGAAGCTAGCAAAAGATAGAGGTTATATTAGCCGTATCTTTGAATAGGAAGCTCATTAAATCTACAAAACAAACAATAAATAAACAGTAAACACACACTAAAATGAAAGAGGGCAAAGTCCATGTAGACTGCTTGGCTGTTGTGCATGGTTTGTGGGGTTGGGTGCTCCTGCGTGACACAACCAGTCTCAGTGTAAGAGGTTGGTCTTGTTCAGTGCTGAGCCCTTCTGAAAGACCAGTTATTTGCACTATGGCTTGAGTTTTGTGCCTGTAACCTTTGCTGGTCCTACCACCCAGAAAGTGAACAAATGGGTCTTAAACATATCTTTAAAACGGGAAGAAAGATTGAAGGAAATTGTGGGGAAGAGAAAGCTAACTGTAGACACAGTAACAGCTGTGAAATATATAAAGGACTGTTGCAAAGAGATGGGGTATAATGTGATGGGTAGTAAAGAAAATAATGAGTTGAAAATGCAGCAGGGAAGATGAGGTGCAGGCATTAGGAAAAAATACATAATCATTCAGGATGGCAGTGCACTGGGAAAAAATACCCCAAGGACTTGGTGCAGATGGCATGAGTACTCCCAAATTCAAAACAGGTTGGTTAGGCATCTGTAAGAAATTACTTGGGCATTCCCTTTGCTACCTGTAGTCTCTTTCTAACCCTAGATTATGGTGATCACAGGTGGGGTGGGCCTCATACTTTTATCACAGGAGGAAAAAAGATGTCGTAGATTGACTTTATGGACTAGTGATACCCTATGGTAACAGCAGTATGGCTTATTAAATCAAAGGAAATTACAAACGACTGACGACTACACACTGATCTCAGACTTTGGAAGCTTAAATACATTTTGTGATTGCTGTCTGACCAATTTCTTCATAAACAAGATTAAAGTGACTGTTTAGTCAGGTGAAAATTTGTGATCATGTTCCAGTTCAGGGCAGAAGGCTACTTCAAAACGCCAACGATGGTACTGTTAGAAAGATTCAAACTGTTCCTTTCTCACTCTCTGACTTTATGTAGGCAGTATTTCCGTCACGGTATCCCGTGCTTGCTTTCTTTTTTTAGCATTCTTGTCTTCAACTGTGATCCAGCTCTGCTTTTGTATTTGCTACCTTTTGGGTGTTTTTTAAGGTTTGTTGTTTTGTAAAAGGCAGTATTTCCCTCTGCTTAGAGGAGCCAACGTAGAGTGACTATAGAGGGAAGACTGGGGGTTAGTCAGGAATTCCTGAATTCTGCTTGTAAGTTCGTCTGTGAGCTAAGATAAGCTTACGTGAGGACGATTATTGTTCCTTAAATACATTTTGTCTCTTAGCTACTTGCTGGCATCTTCTGTTGCAGAGTGTTTTACACAGATATTTATACAGACTGTTTGATACCCTGCTCCCACTGAAGTGCTACTGCCCGTCTCACAGTTTTCTTTGCAAATATTAGAAACTTGAACCTTTCGGCATATCTTTAAGAGCTGATGCTACTATTCCCCTGCAAATATCTGCAGCATTCAGATCATATCTTGCCATGGGTTATGCTCCGAGTACCTGTGAGGGAAGGCTTTATGCAAATAGATGCAAAATGGTAAATGAGCATAGCTAGTAGCTGAATTATTCTACATATGAAACTGCATTTTTCTGCTCTTTCAGCCATACTCTCAGAAGACAGAAATTCCAGTGAGTCTGCCTGGAAGAATAAAATTTCTATATCTGCCCTAAACACTCCAGAGCCAGCAATGATGCATGAGCCTTTAGTTGGCAGCCAGAAGAGGAAAGCAAGGAAAACTAAGATCACACATCTTGTCCGAACAGCAGATGGTCGAGTGTCACCAGCAGGAGGGACACTGGGTAAGGAAATTGGAGTTTAAATTTTGTTAAAACTGAATGGTTGGAGAGGGTTTGGGAGTACAAGCAGCCTATCAGGGAAGTATTTTTCAGTTAGCTTGGTTTCATACCTGCTTAGAAAGGTCATTCTTTAAAATACAGGTTTCAATCAACTGGGAAATCAGTGAGTCAGTAATGGCCAACTGCTTTTGTTTGGATGCCCAAATCAGTCTTCTTTCCCTGGATATTTCTCTGTAAGAACTGAGAACTGATATAGAGAGAAATGGAAAACGGTTACCTTTCATAATTTTTTTCCAGTCTAGCAAAGACACTGCATCTAGTTGTAGGATGTAAAAATGAATTCTATAATATGACAGTTAATGCCACAGCCCTTGCAGGAGTCCTCTGCCGTTAAGATCATCTTTCAGGACTTCTGTATCTAAAACGTACACAAAAGCTCTCTTCCCTGACCTAAAAGATCAAACTCAGTTGAATGCAAAATCAGTAAACTGCTTCATAAACCTTAGTACTGTGCTTCTGCTAATAGCTTGGGTCAGAAGAGGTTGCAGCATGAATCGGATTACACTTGCAAAATCAAAGTCCTAAAGGTAAAGATTCTGTTAACACCAGACTAGTCAGTATATTGATGGGCTGCTGTGAATTTAAGGGCTAGATTTGCAAGCTTAACTTTCTTCTATTGCAGAGGAGAAGCCAAAAGAGCTGCCACAAAGTACTCTTCAAAAAACATCAAGTGCAGAAACAGATTGCAACAGCGAATGCTCCAGAAATGCAGAGACAGAAGAAAATCATAGTATTACATCAGATATGCCAGCGGTGTCTGCATTTTTTAGCTTAGCTGCTCTGGCAGAAGTAGCAGCCATGGAAAATGTACACAGGTATAGTTTTCTTTTCCCCTTGTTGTCTAAGTGAATAGTATGTGGCTGCCAGCTTGTTCAGAAAGCATGTGAATTGCAGACTGTTTAATTTGGCCTGTGTTTCCTCTTCCACAGCTTTCTATGAATGTCTGTTTTACACCACTTGCTTAGTAGTGTTAAGTCTTCACCTAAATGACAATGTAATCTATTTCAGTAGTCAGTAAAACGATCCTCCCTGGTAAGCTTACCTATCAATTTTTGTATATAAACAGGTTCATATGCTCCTTGAGATCCTAATGATTGAGGGTTTCTAATTATGAGATGCCATTTGTCAGATAATAGCAGATTTAAATAGCTATTGCATGCTGATTTGCATTTTTCAGTGGCCTAAGACTGTGGAGAGAATTTCATATAACTTCAGCTGAAGTTTTTATGCTGAACATGGCTGAAGGAAGCTAACTGGTTATTTTTACTCTTGTGCTTTGCTGTGTAGGAGGCAAAGCATCTGCAGAATGGCATGGGGCAGAACAACTCTGGGTGATGGAAAGCCACGTTAGTTTGGGTTGGTCCTCTCAGTTACTGAGTAGGCTGTCCACACAGATAAGGTGGAGAATGTGCAAGTTACTTGGGGCTGTTGGATCAGTTCAGCATGGTCAGATCCTGCATGCTAGACCTGTGGTGGGAGGAAACCAATGACAACAACTCCTCTTTGGCTCTTAATTATCCAGTGTTGTTCTTTGATGCTGCAGCTTTATTGGAGATGAAACCCCGTCCTTTCCTGCAGTGGAAAGTCAGTGAGGAGATGTTGGGCCAGTTTGAAACCATCACAGCCTCTGCAAATGGCATTTGACAGATTGCTGACTGCCTAAGAAACTCCACAAGGCAGCGGTTGATGAAACCATTCACAACCTCAGTTTACTGTTGATCTCTGTGGCCCCCATCAGCCAAGCCAGTCCTGTGTGTTCAGGCTGCACATCAAACATTGAAAGGCTTTTTAGAAGCTCAGGGGCCCTACAAGAAAAAAAGTCAGCTGAACCCAGCCTGCTAGCTCTTCTCTGCAGAAGCCATTGTCTTGGTTAAGCAAGATTGTTTTGGGTGAGAAGTGTTTTCACACTGCAGTGGCCTTTCCTCTCAGCATTGCAAAACAAGTGTCTGCTATCAAGACAGGAAAAGCCTGAACTCGTTTCTGTCATCTTCTGTGGTCAGAAGCCACGAAGTGAGACTTGGGGAAGTGCTGTGCTAAGCTCTGCTCTTTCTCACACCCTTGTGGTTTCATTGATTTCCATTAACACTGACCAGAATTGCACAAGAGCAACACAATTTGCTTCACTGTGGGTTTTCCCTCTTTGTTCCTCTAAGAATTCTTGTCCTCCTCTTGTCCCTGTTGAAGTGAGCTAATATTTTACATAGGCTTCTGTTTAGGTCTTTCTTTCTTATTCCCACCGTTTGTCATCTTGCCATGCAGCTAGAGCAATGCAGCACCTTCCATGAGGCCTGAAAACACCAAACCAGCAAATGTCGAGCAACTTGTTGCAAATTCCAGCTTGTAATCACCCCAGGGGGAAGTGACAACAGGGGAGGACTCTTTC